ACAAAAGATGTTTTCAGCAAGTAATTGTCCTTGAACACCGTAGGTATCTGACCTGTATATTCTATTACCATAGATATTTTCTTTTTTTTTTAAATAAAAATGGAGAATAAATACAACAGCTGGTGTCCACGAGAAAGTTCTGTTATTTGTATCATTTTGATAAAATAGTTAAGAATATAATGCAACAAAAATGCCGTTAAGAAGCATGATTTTTACTCATTTGCGTGTCTGCATAATATTCTCACAATTATAACCACACGATCATACCTCGATTAGCAGTCAGCTCAAGTACCATCCGCAGGTCGGCTGTATTAGAAATCTGGAACAAGTTGCTCTCACTGGCCGCCGGGAGATGCCGCTCGAATTACTTACTTTCTTATACACAACAATTAATTAACATACAAACTATTCATAAGATTACGACGTTATTAAATTACGTATCCAGTTTCTAAAGTAAACAGATAATTATATATTTTTTAAATCAGTTCTATACCTAAGTGTACTGTCATTTTAATTTTAATCAAAACGTTGAATACGATTTTCTAAACTAAGACTGCAGTCATGCCAGGCCATGATCTAAGCCAGGTCTAAGAATTCAGCTACCATTCATATGGTCTTAATTGAAGTTGGTTTAACTGTATTTTACATTTTCTAAATCTGTTTTTTTGGACTGGAGTAGTTACTGCAAATTGTAGGATCTATAGTAACAAGGCGTTTGATCCCTTAGATGTAAAAACCCGAAAAAAACGTTGACTTTATCTTTTGCAATACGTCACACAGGTTACGCATTAAAAAGTGTTTTTTTCATCTGTAGACTTATTTTTTAGTTGTTAACAGTTAGGAATGTAAGTTTTGTACATCAATGATTCTGCCAAGTATTTCAGAGAAATATGGCGTAGAGATATTCAATGTCGGTCAATGGGATACGCGCGTGACTTGTTTATGCACAAGTTGCAACCAGTAACACGGTTAACGTTATCATGAATACTTTTTGGTCGTTTAGGTTTTTTCCTTGGGACATCATTTCAATGAACTTTCACTGGCCACTTTATGTACTGAATTCTAGTTAAGTTCAAACGTTATCAGTTAGAAAGGCAAATATTAAATTGTTACCAAGTATTGAATGTTTTTATGTCGCAGATTTGCGTTTCAATTTTTTTTTTCATTTATCAGTGGTTCATACCATTAACCCTGGTGTCACCGATCCTTTTTTCTTACTTCTCATATTATATCTGCGCATGTTTGGATGTATGGCTGTATCTGGTATGTATGGATGAATGGCTTTTGTTATAAGATATCTCTAAATATTCTGGAAGAACACATAGGCTATTATTATTTTTTTTACATTCCGCGCGAACGGTATCGCGGTCGGCAGCTAGTAGCTCATATTTATTTTGTGTAATATTATTATTTACATTTTAAATTCTATGACATATCTTAAGAATCTGCAAAATATGACTGCATGAAACAAAATCGGTAAATGTAAATTAAATTAGTAAGGAAATAAAAATTGTTCTGTAAACAGATGACAAGCGTGATGAAGACATACACAAATTGTATCAAATTGATCCTGTAAACAAATATATATATATGTTATTATGTCTTTTAGTGTTAGAACCTAGAATAATAATTTTTAAATATTTCTTACGCGCTTATTATACGCACTGTTTACGCTATAAGATTGCTATAAACAAAGAATAAAGCAAAGTGTGACAGAGTTATAAGTTTATTAGGCAATACATATTTTTAATAAGATACTGTAGACATGTAGGTACGTTTCATTACAATATTTTCATAGGAAACATTCACACAAGGCGGCGAACTGACTGAAGCGATGAACGGATCGTGGTCCAATTATAAAAATAGAAATACGGAATATTCTCCGCGACAGCGACCGGCTTTCTCGATCTTACTGATCTTAACCTTAAATTTATTTCCACGTTATTTTCCTTTACTTTCATCTTAAAAGAACAGAACATACATTTTTAAAGTAATTAAGTGCCAAAACAAAGTTACAAATTTAGTGATTAATACAAACATGTCCGACAAAGAAGGATTTTTCATAAAATTCCACGAGAAAATAAATAACAGTTTGGACGATGTTTCGAAAAATAATTTCGCCAATTTGGAATCCAATTCAAAACGTGTTTCGTATTTATTCAGCCTGCCTGCTGTAAAATCTTACGATCTTACTGGTGATATCGCAAAATGTTCAAAAGATGGAGAGATTTCCGAGAAAAAAGATTTGGAAAAGGCGCATCAACTAAAAGATGAAGGGAATAAAGCAGTACAGAAAGGTGATTGGGCTAAAGCTTTGGAGTTTTACAGCCAAGCTATGATGTTCGTGCCTCATAAAGATAGTGAGTAATGTTTTGAAATCAATTATCTAGAAAAAAAAATCGATGGAATCATCATAAGTAGAGTTCTTGTTTTACTTTTATATATTACTATTCGATGTGTCGTTGTCTTTTTTTAATTAATTTAATGGAATAATGACGTGGACTACTTTGTTTTTTTCAGCTGATGAACTATCAATTCTTTATGCAAACCGCTCAGCGGCATTAAGTCATTTAGAGCAATATGAGGATACACTTTCTGACATCAAACGATGCCTTTCGCTCGCGTATCCTCGACATCTGAGATACAAGGTTTATGAACGGAGAGCGAGAACTTTGTTGATAGTCAAGAGACATCAAGAAGCTATTACTGCTTTCCAGTAAGTACCTTTTTTGTATAGGATGCCAGAGAAAGCTATGATTTATTTAGGATTGTTATTATAAATTTAATTTATATACAAGATAGAACCCTCAAGTATTTTTATTAGCACAGACTCGTAGGTAATCTTTTGCGATACAATATTTAAAGGAGTTAATTTTTTTTATAAATAATATTTTATTCTAGAGATACAATAACCGCACTTGATGAAGCCAACAATCTTAATAAAGAGAAAAGACAAAAGATGAGAACTGATGCTAAACTTATGTTGGAAATCTTAAACAAGGGCATCACATTAGCAGGAAATCCAAAAGATCCGGAACCATTAAGAAAAACGCCTCCAAAACCTAAACTACCAGGAAAGAATAACCCTCAGTATCCAGCCGCTTCTGACGCAATACAAATAGATTACAATGAAGCAAAAGGAAGATATGCAACAGCTGCAAGAGATATACAGGCCGGAGAATCGCTGTTAATCGAGAAACCGTTTAGTGGAGTATTGTTAGGAGAGTATTCAAAGACGCATTGTCAAAATTGTTTCATAAAGTAAGTACAATGATAGAGGTAAAGACTATATCTGATCATTATAACCTACTTCCTCTTGTTTCTTCTTGCGTTCTTTCTAAAATTATATTTTAAACGTTATCATTTTACAGATGTCCTGTACCAATCCCTTGTCCAAGATGTCCGAACGTAATCTTCTGCAGTGAGAAATGTTCAGATGACGCTCAAAAGACTTACCACAGCTACGAATGTCAAATTTTACCACTACTATGGAAATCTGGCTGCTCTATTACGTGTCATATCGCTTTAAGAATGATCACACAACACAAAAAAGATTATTTTAATGAAATAATCTCTAATATAGAAGAAAAACCCACTGGAGTTTACAAATCTGGTGATTATAAAAACATCTATCATTTGGTAGCCCACGAAGATAAGAGAACTAAGCAAGATTTCTTGCATAGAACACAAATGACTACTTTCCTGCTGAAACTGCTTGAAATAAGTGGCTACTTTGATAATAAACCCAGAGAAAAGCCGATTGATATAAATGAACTCAAATCTTTGGGTATTGACGAAAAACATAAAGACGATGTCGCATTAATTGGTGGATTAATTTTAAAGAATCTGCAAGTTCTTCAGTTCAATGCGCACGAAGTGTTCGAACTTCAATGCCCAAAACCAAGAGTGGGCAACAATGTTATAAAACATAATGGCAAATCAGTTTTCTTGGCTGGTGCAGTATTTCCAACACTCGCTTTGTTTAACCATTCATGCGATCCTGGTGTTGTAAGGTAAGCAAAAAAGAAATACTAATCAGCGAAGTCGCGTATCACTCCGTTATGATTCAAAAATGTTTATTTAAATAAGTTTTATTTTTTATTTATCACCAGATATTTTTGTGGACCGTACATTGTCGTAAGAGCAGTAAAGAATATTAAGAAAGGCGAGGAAGTAGCTGAGAACTACGGACCTATTTTCACGACGGTACCGAAGGAGAAACGTCAGGCGGATCTAAAGGAGCAGTACTGGTTCGATTGCACTTGCGTACCTTGCCAGCAGAATTGGCCACGTTACGAAGACATGACAGAAAACTATATGAGATTCAAGTAAGTTTCACGAAAAGTGACTCGAAGATGTATGACTCTTTTGTTATATGATACTTCATGAAGGACACGTATTAATTTCCCTGGACTAAATAGAATTGTTCTTTTATTAATTATATTGGTTGCTTAGTTGACATTTCCCTAACTTTAGTATTAAATTAAAAAAGAGAGTAGACGGTGTTGCCTCAATTGAAATCTATTATTCCTCGATAATTAAATTGGACAGCGGAAAAAAACGAAATTAAAATTTCATTGCATTTAATTTTTTAAATTTTGTTTATGTTTTAGATGTGATTCTGATCATCCTTGCCCCAACGTGATACCGGTCCCGTACGATTGCCAGGAGTTCATGGTGAAGTGCGGCTTATGCAACCAGTACACAAACATTCTCAAAGGTCTAAAGTCCTTACAGGTAATACGCACGTTTATTTTATTCAGCACTGCAAGCGAAAAAATCTACTAGTCTTCTAGACAATTTAAAAACTAATACAAATAAATTGGGACCTACCTGCTAGGACCTATTGACTTAAAAAAAATTCTGATTGTGTCTTAAAAAATTAAGATAACGCAATATTGTATTCATAGATGTTTTCATAAACGAAAGCAATAGTTATGTATGGGTGAATGGATGTGTATTAGAAGGTTTCTCCATAACTACAAAAATTAAAACACTCCATTTCATCAATAACATTAATTCAGTTCACTTTATTACTTCACTATAATAAATTTAAATATCAATACATATAAAGTCCATACACAATTGTATAGCAGAACATCGTGTCGTTCCTAAATAAGTCGTCGACGTAGGCATCAGTCTCAGGGTCCCAGATGCACCGCTGCCCGCACTTTACACCCGCACCTTTCATTTCTATTATTGTTGATTGTACTAGAATTTTGTATCTACAAATTAATTATTTAACATCTTACTAATATTATAAATGCGTAAACTTAGATGGATGGATGTTTAATAGAAAGTATCTCTGGGACAGCTATTGAATAGACCTCGATGAAATTTGGCATAAATGTAGAACATAGTCTGAAGACATAGGCTACTTAAGTTTTTTCTTCAATTCCGCGCGAACATAGACGCGAGCCACAGCTACCTTAGATAATAAAAAGATCATTAGATAGAAGTTGACAGAAGCAATATAGCTTTGAGATTTTTTTAGAAAAGAAAGAAGATAGAAAACTTTAAATGTTATCCAAAGCAAGTGTAAATTTTTTACTTGTATTTTATAATGTTTGATGAGGTCATAAAGGCAATCAATTTTAACTTTAATGTTTATTACAAATATACCCTAAAAACCTATTACGCATTTTCCGCAGTGCCAAACAAATTTTGTGAATAGTAGCGTGACTTAAACACTGCTTTTCGAGCCATATATACCATAGATTCGTTATTCCTATTATAGTACAAATAATAATCACCTTTTCATGTCAAGATCTTGTACTCTCTGTCGTACCGCATTAGCTATACTCTTAGCCCACTTGGGCGCCTGGTCCGAGCGGTACTGCCGACCCATTAACTGCTCCTTCATAGTTCTGTTGATCAAATCTCTCACATTCTGAGCCTGGAATCTAAAAGAATATAATTTTACACACTATGGATATTACCTTTTAATCTTGAATTGTTCTGGAACTTACATCTTTTAAATGAACTTTGGTTTAGTAGTATAGTAAATTTATTTGTAATCCGATTAAATAATAAAAACGACAATTCATTTAATAATAAAAATAAATTATATCATGTTTGTATTTTGATCATTTTATCATCCATAGACATAAATGATGAATATCAATATTTTTACTACATCATTTACAATGCTTTTACAAAGAAATTCCAGCAGATTTTATGAATCCCTAGCTACCTAGATTTCAGTAACCAGAAAAAATAATACATTACTTTTCTCCAAGTCCTGGCCGTACTTCATACTTTGCAGGTTCTAGTGGCTTCTCTGTTTCAACAGGACTCACTTCAGTTGCACTTTGAATTGCTTCTACACCCTCGCCTTCTTCAACTATTGAGAACATACAAAAATGTTACTTAAATAGTATTTGGCATTAGTTTTATTGGTCAATTCTTGCACTGCGTGGGTGTTACTGTTTTAATATTTAACAGGAAGGAACAGCAAAAACATACTTGAGAAAATCTTCCTTATTGTAGTACTCAATTTGAACATATACTATGTCATATGGGCATTGTATGGTGTGGTAGCTAATAGTGAAAAAATATAATTGAATAAGCAAGAGTCCCTTGGACTCAGACCACAGTATTTTCTTGGTCAAAGACGTCTTCTCTCTCCCCAGTTTCTCACTAATGGAGGTACTGGACAACAACTCTCACTTACAAAGGTTTCATGTTTATGGAGGTTCTACTGTTTGAAAAATACTAAGAATCTTACCTTCTTCATCATCTGCCATTGTCTTTTAATGTCATTTAACACTAGCAAAATACTGATGTATCTGAAAAAATAAATATCATAAAGTTATTTGAATTTTCTTTTTATTAAAAAGCTATTCTTTTACACAGGATACTGATATGATGTACAAGCTTGGCCGGGGTGCTATGGAAGAAGGCAAATATGGAGAAGCGATAAAGAAATTCATTGAAATGTTAAAATTATATGACTCTACTCTTGCACCCCCATATAAGTCATATTATGACTGTGTGCAAGACCTAAGACGCAGCATGCTGGCTATGGGAAATTACAGTATTGTTTAATATTAGTGTTACAATTAACTGTTCTTATTATTTAGTTATATTTTTCCATTTTATCTGGATTTGGCAATATTTTTTATTCCACTTTCACATTATGTAAACTTTTCTTTGGTCTCCTCCTGACATAATATTCTCCAATGCTCCATTAATTCTGATATGTTTAAAAAAATCCTTGTCATAGCTTTTGAAAATTGTTAGCTATTCATGTCTTCAAATAAAAATATGCTTTAAAACATTGTTTTTTTTTAACTCTAAGAAAACAAATTATACAAACAACTCCTTGGTATAAACATGATCACAGCCATAGTTAGGAAGAATTTCCTTTGGTGGTGGGAAACCTGGAGATCTTAGGAACAAGGGCTTACTGCTTATTTATAGTAAATAGTGCGATATTAGTATAAGAAATAGTAGAGACATAAAAGTAAAGTTTTGCAAAGTTTAATATATTGAAGTAAACAATAACAAGACCTGGCTCATGTTTTATTAATAAAAAATGCAAAGGAATACTGTTCCTGCAATACTACTTATTATAGGTCTAACGATTCTATATCAACAATATATCGATCAAATAAGCAATATACGGTTTAAGACGTCAAAGCGACATTAAAGTTGCCCATGTCCGACGAGTTAATATCGTATAATGATAAGTTGGGATATAGAAATGATAAGGGCGAGGGAGCTATCGAAATCGCTTAAAGACATTTAATAAATAAAACAAAAAACTTACTTATACCTCTAAACACACGACGTGATACAATATTTATTTGTTTTATGTGACATTGACATTTGATTTGACAGCAAAATAATCAACAAAATCTATTCAGTTGACCAAAGAGTAAATAAAATATATACTCTTTACAGTTGACACAAAAGGACGGTTAAAGATGCTACAAGTAGAAGATATTTGTCAGATTCGCCAGTTTTAAAATCAAGATTTTTATAGTTCATTAAAAACGTTAAAAAATATGCTACCACCATTATTTTAATGTTACGAATTTGTCAATTTCTCAATTTTCAACTCCTTTTTCGCAACCACCTACAAAATAAAATTTGTATCCAATTTGTATCTTGTAGTTTATTATCTGTAAAAATTCATTCAACATCTATTTTGACATATGACATGTGTGTAATTTAGTGCCGTGCAGTATAAATATAAAATTCAGAATACAAACTACAAACCAAAATTTAAATTAACATACTCGACTATTTTGGCTGAAACTATGGCTACTTATGATAATAAAGTATGGCTCTTAAAGAATATAAGGGAGGCATTTATTGCGACCGATGATACAGGTTTATGTGATATTGTTATGGCTGGTGAAGATTTTTCGAAAATATTTCAAAATAAAGCCATGGAGGAAAAAAAGAAATACAAAGAGGGAATTCTATATCAACCTAGCACCAGTAAGATTAAAGAACTTAGTTCAGACATAAGTGATGAAAGGGAACTGGTGACACAATTTGATCCTTACCCTGATATGGAAGACAGCGAAGAAGATGATCTAGTTTGTGGTAGCTATATACGTCACGAAGATTTTTTGCCGCACAGGTATTTTTTACCACTATTTTAATATATTTACGTTTAAAATATACAGCAAACTATAAAATTTACTCAGCATTAGATTACTGGTGTAATAAGCATTAATAGTATCTCATGACATACGTTAAATTATTTCATTTGTAGGCAGAGATCAAACACTACATTGTGGCTTGATAAAAAGGAGCAAGCGTTAAAGAAGGCAGCTAAAATTAAAGTAATAAAATGGGAAGATCCAACTATAAAACTTACTGCAGAACAAATGGCAGAAACATTTGCAAAGATAGAGGTGAAAAAAGTTGAAAAAAAGAAATCACTATTGGCTGAACAGTTGGAACACTGCCCTGACCTCCCTCACCGACAATACCTTGAGTATGCAAAGTTTGATGGCACAGCACAATTAGGTCTCCCTATAAAGTCGTTTAAAATCTTTATGACAATGCTGCCAGAAAAACATCAAAACTATCCACTGGTTGTGTGTGTTATTGCCAGTGCCAAAATTAAAGATTTGATTGGATTCACATGCTATAAATATAGGTAAATATCATGAATAACCCATTTTTTTTTATTTTGCACATACAATAAAAATATCTACTGAAAAATCTGTAAATTTTTGTACAGGTTTTTGAATTTTTGAAACGGTAGTTAAGTTATTAATATTATTTAATAAATGTTTGTATATTCTAGGTTACATACTGTAAACTAAATTATATATGTTTACAAAAGTCCAAAGGATAAATTTGTTATTATTATTCCCAGCATTGAACATCCAGAAATAACTCTTGGATCTGTGCATGAGTATGGACTTTGTATTGCGGAAGATGATGGAGAAGTTGACTTGGCATTTCCTTGCTTGGATGCTAATGAACCCTGCTCTAAGTTTGGTTTCACATGCCTCGGTCTTATTGATTTAAAAACCAAGATCATTATAGATCGAGCTACAGACTCTATTCCTGATTATTCAGTGATGAGTGGGGCTTTTCATGTATTTCCGAAGGCATCAGACTCAGGCCAAAGTCATCACAACACATCTAGACATAATACAGGAGGCAGCTCAACTTCAGAAGCAGTTAGAAGTGCTATCAGAGCCGTTAATGAAGGTACAATTTTTGTCATTTTTTTTATTTATTTATATGGTATGTGTCAAATAATGTGCAAACAAAAACTGTGTAAATAACATTTTTGAAACATGGAGATTATGGAACTCTAAAGAAGCCTTAATCTATGATATGACCTATTTTTATGTTGTGAATCTAAAGTTTTTGGCATTTTATTATTACAGAAAGAAAAGCAGGTGGATTAAATGTAGACAAAATGCAGTCCCATATAATTGCAACTGAAGCACCGCAATGTAAAGCTTATAGTGTGCATATGTTAAGAAAAGTACGAACAAATATTATGGTGCAGTTGGTGATATCGTTAGATAGGATTGAAATTGAACCTATTGTGACTCATAAACATGCATTTTGGGTAAGCCTTTATTATTTTAACTTCATTTCATTCACTTGGACACACACACACTTGGGACATTTACTATGTATAATAATATTTTTTAAAATAATTGCTTAAATTTTTCTCCATTGCAATTGTTTTTTATTATTTTTTCAGTCAAGATCTAAATATTTTCTGCACAGCATAGACTCAGTGGCATGGTGTCAGATATTGGAGTCAAAAGCCAACAAAACAACCTTTAGGATAGTTTATTCAACTAGTCATAATACATCCTTAAATGATAGAACAGCAGGTATTTGACAAATATAAATTTTTGACATACTTCTTTTTTACTCTGGCTGTAAACTAATAAATTTTCAGGTAACACCAATTTCTTCCATCCAAACACAACATACAAATGTCATGATTTTGAATGTGATCATGAGACGGGAAAAGAAATCGTAGAGAAAATAAACACAATCCTAGATCTCAGAAATAGTCCGTGTCGAAGAGAATACAAGACTGCTAAAGAGAAAAAATTACAAACTAGAAGAAGTTTTCATACAAAGCAGACAAGTTGAGTTCTAAAGACTGTTTATTGTGTAAATATAAACTGTTTAAAGTTCCTGAACAATATAATTTTGAAATGACTGAAGTGAATTTCACAAAACAATAACTGCCACATAAGACATTTATATTTATGAATATTTTTTTTATGTTAACAGCAAAACGTTTTTTTCTATAGTTTTATTTCCTTAATTTTTAAGGTTATAAATGTTTTGAACACCAGTGCATACTATTTAAAACAAACTTTTTTATCTACATAAGTGAAAATGTGGTTTAAAAGGTAGTAATCATATTTTTATGGATTACATTCAGTAATCATTATGTATATAAACCTACCTATCTATTTATAGATAGCATAGTATATTTATATGGTTACATATATCAATTAAGTCAGTTTTTTTAATAAATTTAATCCGTAAAATTACTTGAAAATCAATTCAAATATTTGTTGCAATTCAAGATACAATTTTTAATATGTACGAATAACTGTCTGTCTTATAATATGATATTTTTCATATCCACTATCAAAACACTTACTAAAAAGGTTTCTCTTTGAAAAAAGAGAGCTTGAGAGGATCAATTTCATACAGGGGTGAAGGCAGTGTTGAACCATAAATAGTAGTCTAAAAACATTTACACTAAGAGCACTTTTAGGCTTGTTATTTAATCATTTATATGCTATGGTCATCTGAATACGGAGAATTTAATTATACTAAATTGTAGAAAGAAAAAAAATGGTGATTTTTTTAATTTCCATTAATATGTAATTCATGTATTGAATACCTGTACTATAATAAAATTGTACATTGCGATTAAATATTGAAAATAAATTGTTGTTACTGATTGTTTATTTTTTTTTAATCAATTACTTTTTATAGTCATTAAATGGCAAATGACATTTCACATATGTTTCAATAAATGGGAAGGCATAATATAAATTAAAAAAAAACAAGTCTAGTAAGAGTACTTTATTACATTTACAATACAATAGTTCTTAAAATATACTTATAAATATCTTAGTAGTGAAAATATTGTCAATATTTCATCACAAAATTAAAACCAGATACAGAATTTAAATTATAAGTTATAAAAATTAACTATTTTTTAATTATGTACACTTTAATATATACATAATAAATGGCATCCCATTTCATAACTCACTCTGTTTAAATGACATCTATTTCTTGCTATTTATTTTAATAGATTTGATTTAATGATGACTGTTAATAAATGTCTAATTACTGTTATGTTTTTGGTTCTATAGAACTGTTATCAAGAATATATTCATTAATTTGCTTAATTTTGTCTTCACAATGACTTAATATAACATTATCCAGTTCTGCTGCCCTTTTAAATAAAGCATGGGATTCTCTAACTGATTTGTGTAGTTTTCTTTGGCTGTCAATCAGTTTTGTTATGTTAACTTTGCCTTTCAAAAATTCTATGTCTTCATTTGTTAATGCAGAATAACATATCTTGGCTTTACTTGATGATTTTACTGCTAATTGATACTGCCTGGAACATTACAAAAACATGTATGTATGTTTGTATGTTTTCCAATATTTAACACAATGCCAATACTGGTAGTTAGAATATACACATTAACCACATATACATGTACATTTAGCATTCTCACAAGCAATACTTACAATCTTAGGTCATGATATTTATTTTTCCTATTGTTAACTTCTTTTTTCCACTGCTCTTTTTCAGACAAAAGTTTTTCGTAATAACTGAAAATCAAGCATCCATGTGTGTACTTTATTTAACAATATCAATTAGCACATAAGTAACTTTGCAGCGTTTTACCTTTGAAGTTCTTGATTATGTTTCTCATTTATATCTGTATCTTTCTTAGCTACACTTTGCTCCAACCTTCCTGACAAAAATTGTGGTCCTGTAATAAATTGTTTAAAGTACGTATTTATTATGAATTTGAGTAAAAATATAAGTCTTTCATAGCAACCCACCCAAAGAATCTCTTCTCTCAAAAAACGTTGATCGTCTACGTCGCGGGGGCGACCGTATAGATTGTTGTATTTCGTTTTCGTTAATCGAATTTTCCATTTTTTATCGCCAGTGGCATAAATAACAGTAAAACTTATTTCAATTTCGCAGTTTACAAATTTCAAAACAATGAAAACAAACTGAAGTTTCAAACCGTCGCCAGTGTTTTATAGATAAAAAATGAAAACGCTTGCTACGCCAGAGATAACAAAATGAAAATCGGAAGAAACATAAAGTAATGAGTTAAATAAAATTATATCTATAATTAAACATTTCAAAAACTCAAGACTTAGGTTTAATGACAAATTTAAATTTAATGATTGTTAAATAATTTTCTATTCACCATACTGTATGACGCGATACTACCCCCTGCTGCGGTGACTAGAATTTATACCGATTCCTCTTTTCAGCGTTTCATTGATATAGACTTCTAAGAAATATTGTAATATCGTACTCTATATGATAAGTGAAATCTTGTGAAAATTAGCTGAAAGAAGAACATTACAATATTTTGTTATTCGTGCAACGGAATCATTTTATAACTTGACATTTGTTTGACGTTTCTTTGCACGAATTTATCCGACAACTATCGGTAAATATCTAAGTACACATAATACCGCATTTGAGATTTTTTCGTATTTATCTTTTATTTTTGCCGCTATTAACTCGTTATAATGTTTTGTTCTCGTAAGAGAACCTAATTATCAATGGGTAAGAACTAGAGACTTTGCTATTATTATTATTTATTATATTTCATTTGCATGTCTGCTTAGTGAATTGTTTTATATTACAATATTGATATACCCCCAACAGCAAACAGTGATGGAGTTCAATGAATGTCGACCAAATGAGGTATTGGACCCGGTTGATTTAGAGTTCTATTCGGAAAGATCTCGCACACCGAGTCCTGCCCCTGTGCTCACTACAAACGTATGTTGCGACTTGGAAGACATATTGAGCGACGTAAGAACACTCATTTCTTTCCCACGTTCTATGTACTCTAGCATTATAGCTATACAATTCATAGATGTGTATTTTAAAAAATCCCAAAATTGTTAGAGCTCATTACATTTAATGAACACCAAAATATTAATTACTAAACAGTATAAAATTATTTTTTGCTAAAATTCGTTTACTGTTCATATTTATTTGCGTCACCGTAAATAGCATAGAAACAGTATTTTTTTGGATAAATCATGCATGGACAATATTCAAATATTGTTTTATAATATTTCATCTCAGATGAGTGTCATCTATTAATATTAACATATGTATCTAATGTAGAGTATGTGGGATAATCAGTAATATAAACATTTTGATAATGCTGGCGTGAATAAACATTGATTTCTGATATTTCAGGCCATATCAGAGTCCCTCCAGGGTTCACTAAGAGTAAGCCGAAGTCAATTAATAAATCAAGAACTAACAATAAGACCAGAAGCAAATATTGAGTCAAACGTTCCAGAAGAGCTTGATCTTTACAAAGTTATATTTGAAGTTGAAAGTGATTCTGAAGCAAAGATGGGCGACTTAGATGGTGCCACTGCTGCTGTTAAAAACGACACTTCTAAAAGCCAGGTACGTAGTGACTGAACCTTCTGAGCAGTACCCATCTTAGAGTAGGGTGCCATTGGGTAATTGCACAATGGCTAGACTAATAAGGGTTTTAGAATTACATAGTTTGCTCATAGCGCCGGCAATATCGGTCTAGATTACCTAATTTAAAGAACAAATGTTGCTTTGATAATTCTGCAACTAAATTTTAATATAATTTTATAAATTGTTACTGATTTAAAGGACAAATTATTTTATCAGTTAATGTAAAGAAACTAGTAATTAAATCTAAGTCCAGATTAGGGTGCTAAAAGTAACTGCAGCTCAAGAATTAAACAGCTTCACTTTCACATCAGATTTATATCGGATGATATAGCCTGGCTGATTGTTTGGATAAATATAAATACATTATAGATATTGAGACTACCAAACAGGTTTTTAATTTTATTCATGCGAGCCGTTTCTTTGTACTTGATTACACTCAAGGTGAAATACTTAATTGGCAACCTTTTATGCGATGTGACCTTTTGACCTTGAAAAATGTCTGTGATTTGAGGACTAAAGGAATGTTTTCTTATTGGGATCAGAATAATTGTTTCTCTATATATGTTTAGAGTTTTTGTCACATTTTGTTAATAGGTTGAAAGGTGGCTAGAATTCTAGCCTAGATAATTTTTTAATTATTTTTGCAATAATTTGGTATATGAAGTTTGGTTTCATTATCGCTTTAAGTTCAAAGCAATTGTTTACATATTATGTCATAAAAAATCACAACCAATTAGTGCTATACTAATTGTTAACAGTGTGCAAACCAATTATTAACGATAACACAGAGTAAACAGTTTTTTATTGCCTAGTAGTTGCCTATAAAAATATTTTAATGGACAATTAACTACTTATTTAGCGTTTATTTAAACAAATAAAATATCGTTTTAAAACTAAATACACTAAATTGTTGTTATACTCGGAAATATATTGATCAGCTTTATGAAAAAAAAAAACAATATCTATGGATTGCAGTAGATTGTTGTGCTACTTTTACAACATCAATTGTATTCTCTTTCATCACAACAGATTCATTCATGTGTAAACAACGCGTTTTGTTAGTGGCCTGAGTTATTACGTAGTTTTTAACGATACCTACCCATTTACTTTTAAAAGCCTATCAAATAGCTGTTCTAAACAGATTAGCCCCGAACTTACATTAAGAGATATTTTACAACTATGTATATTGCTATGAAATTAAGGAAGGTGTAAAGTGTATTTTTTAATTAATGGTCAAAAAAGTTCTAAAAATTATATTTACTGTGGGTATGTCAATTGTGCTCGACGGAAATAATAAATATTTATCTATTGTCAGTATTAACAAAGATATTTGTTCTTGTAACGATGTTATTCTTGTAGTATGAATTTCAATGGATCTCGACAAACACTTAGGCTCAGGTGAACGCGCTTGTTGATAAATAAAACATTGCGACAGACGCATTACTGAGAATAATCTGATGTGTACAGTGGCACAGGATAAATATCAGTGTAATGTAAACGACACGGCAAAATTTAATAATACATGCCTTCTAACTTTGTCTCGAACGATAACGATTGAAGCATACAAAGTTTTTTTTTTCAAATAAAACATAGCATATTTTTGTTAATTTATTAATACTTCTTGTACTATTCCAAGTAAGCTCTAGGCTTGTATATGGCGTAGTTTACGATAATAGTTGAATGGATTCGATCTCTCAGTCCAGTGATCGGATATCCGTACCCTTAACCATTAGGCTATTGGCGCCCTGATTGTCGATCCATTGGTATCAAAAATATTACTACAGAACATTCATTTTTTTTGTTTTATATTGATGTTAGATTCTGTGTTCCTATGATATTGGTCTTGTAATTCCATTTTTATGTGACATTAAAAAAGTATATATTAAAAATAACAAAAATATACGTATTGTTAAATGATAAGATACGTTAATGCGTTTCTGCTGTACCATAATATGTAATATAATCATTGTATTCTTATGTGCAAGAAGGTTTTATACGTCTGGTGAAATTGATGCTGGCACATAAATACGTTTGTTTAGTATTATGAGTATAGTGTACCCTTGGCTTTTAATTAATGACGTACTGTTTTGGTTCAGTCTATTGTAACACCTAATGGGTGCGTCACCTGCGCACACGACTATTATTTGAGCGTTGCATTTTATTCGTCTATATTTTTTATCTGTGATCAAAGATAAGTAACGTACAGACATATTTTATAATAGATAATAAAATATGGTTAAAAATTTGTTTTGTAAATTTTCAATATACATTTATTGTGATATATATGTTAGTGTTTAATAGGTAACATTATGTGGTCTATGTTGTTGAACTTGATTAGATTAAACAAGAAATACCAGATTGATTCCGTAATATGACGGACATGGAGGATATGAACGTTAAGGTAAATATACATTATGTTACGCGTTACCGGTTTAATAAAGTATAAACATTTTTGTATCACATACATAATGTACAATGGACTGTTGTTTCGTTTTCATCTTGTTATACTTATTTCTTTCATCAACTTTATACGTGTATTTTATTATTTACTGTTTACGTTAAATGTTTCCATGTACAAAAATGTATTCACCAAACGCAGGGTCAAGGTTACCTCTACAAGATAAAAAATAATTATAGAATTAAAAGTAAACGAAAATGCACCACTACTTAATAAACATATCACAGAGTATTGAAATTACAGAGAAACCATTTTTATAATCATACGTCTGTATAAATTAATCCTAAAGAGTTACTTATTGATTGCTAAGGATTTCTTTCTATAATTTTGTCATTTATTTAATTAAAAAAATATAGACCGAATTCTTTGTTACAATAATTGGAATTCTGATTTTTTTTGTTGTGATAACTTTGGAACGTAAATAAAACATGACATAATTTAAAATGACGGGCCTATACCGCCTATTGATATCAATGTTGTGGGCAGCGCATGATTCATTGGACAATGTCTTTAGTTTGGTATGCAAGCCCCACTGTGGCACACGTCCTCTTGAATATTAAACACTTGTATTAAAATATTGTTTTAAATATTGAACAATTCGTGTTTTGTGGAGTGTTTTTTGTTTTTGTTTTATTGACTACTACAGTGATAATGACGTTTAGAGAATCACAAATTATACAAAAGGTAAACAGGTAATGTTTTAGTGGTTTATACTGATTTAAACAATTTTAAATATTATGTTTAATTCCAATAAAATCAAAGAAAACATGTTGACGTTCTTTGAAAAACAAAAATAGAAATTCATTTAGTGGAAATGAAGCTTAAGTTTTATTTAATGTAAATTTGGTTGGGTAATATACTGCTGAAATACACGAATTTAAAACAATGTCTTCGCTATGACCATGTAGACATGCGTAATATTTATTAAATCAACCTCAAACTATATAAGAAATGTAATATTGAATGTAGTGTTAAGTACATAAAAGTTCAACTATGTGTATATTATCTATCAACTATTATATTCAACTATTTTATTCAACTATAAATATTTAAGCATTTAGGAAAGTACATAAGGTAAAATAAGGATACAGATAATGCAAAAGTAAATTACCTCGTTGTATATAGTAAATACGAATTCCATTGTCATTACAGGATTTTTACAATATGAAAAACGTAGTGTAAACTTATGTCCGCCATTATAAAGATTTATTTTGATAATATCAATCATATAGTTATAAAAATAATTGTACACAGGACTCATGCCGTTTGGTCGGCGGGTCGAAGTTCTACGAGATGTTGGATGGGTCACAGGCGGCTGACACCGCCACGCCCTCGCCCACTGAGAAGCAGGACCACATGAAACCCATTGAGAGCGATGATGAAGGTACTTAGACACTTCTAGTTACATTTTTATCACTTATATGAGAATCTATGTTTTGATACCATTTAGAATTTGGGTATAACAAGAGATCGTGCTCTTGTAGCGAATTTATTCCAAAAATTCTTTCCGATGTTAAGATATGATAACGTTTAAATGCTTATTTTTAAATTCTTCTTCACTTAAAACTAAAGTTTGCATTTCTGTCCACATCACGATTGGAATGTAACGGAGGGACAGACGGACACCAATAACGTATTTTAATATGTGTATTTAATATGTGTGCATGAATATTAAACTCATATTATTTAGTTGTACAATATTTTCTCATTACCAGTATCTGTAGAGCGTGATTCTGTCATTTATTAGGTTAAAGGTCAGTCGTTGACAATTAAATCCTGTGTTCGCGCTGTATAATAACCTATATATGTAAAATAACCTAGTTTGTGTATTAAAAATGGTCCACTGTCCTGGTTCTATGTACGCAGATCTATATATATGAATATCCAGATTCTAATAATATTAGTATGAACACATGAAACAATCGGTGTGTGCTAATTTATTAGACATTTTGAAAAATGCCTTTTACTTCTACTGATTGCAACTAGTACAGTATTATGAACCTGATGAGGTAAAAGAAAGTATACAATTTGAAAAGAATATACCGATATAGTTAGGTAAGTAAACCCGTGTGCCATAGTGAATATGTATTTGTTTCAGTATCAGACGTGGACCAGGATTGCACCGTGTTCTGTGGGGTGAGCTACCTCGGAGCGCAGAACATCGCCGACCCCAAGTCTGAGCAGGACATCCAGCGCATCATGCAGGAGCTCAGCTCAATGCCGGAGAATAGAGACGGCATCGCTGTCTCTATATCCATACCCGTTTGTTCCCAGGGACTTGTCGTGTGAGTTTTGACTTTATATTAAAAGAAGAGAGGCTTCAACTTTGTGCTTTAGAAATTGTTTTTTTTTCCAGTTGTAAAATAATCGCGGCCGTTTCCAAGATGTTCAAGATGTCTTTAAGTGACTGATTTAATTTTTCTTTTTCAGCCTATACCAAGCGGACAGTAATAGCGTGATGACGCGGTATGCGGTGAATCGCATCTCGTTCTACGCACGTGGTGCAGCCGGCTCACCTGTCGCCTCCTGCTTCGCCTTCACCTGGTCCCACGGCGAGACCAAGGAGTCAGCCGTCTACCGCTGTCATGTATTCAGGTGTCACATCGCGGAGGCGGTCAATCAAGTCTCTAGTGAGTATTACTTACTTGAAATGTTAAATGTTAAGCGTTTGATTAGTATCTTCTTTCATAATACGTATACATTCAGCAATGTTGCCATCTTTATTCTCCTTGAAGTAACAGAGAATAGAACAATTGTCACATGACACTTGTATACTTATACTTTTATTTGTATACAAGTGTCACGTTATTTAAACTGTTACGTATAGGGGATTACGGATAAATGTTACTCTTCCTGAAATTTTGAATCTATGTGGACTTTATTGGAATTTATATTAAAATGGTAGTTATGTCCTAGATAAAGCGTTCGAACTAAATAGTTTAAGCTCGGTTCAAATTCTAAGTGCAAATATTTGTTCCAGTAAATTTGCTAGTACAAAGTTGTAGGCGCCTTTATTAAGTTATTTATTTAAAATTTGATTTAATATGGACGCTTATTTTCGAACTATTATTAAAAACAATGTAACATTTTGAATTGTTAAATGAGATGGACGTTTTATATATTACATAAATATTTGGTTTATTTCTCTACTCGCTAATGCTTACACAATGTTTGCGCGAACGTTTATTATAAATTAGTACGATCGTTTCAATCACAATACATTAGAGTGAATTCTCCTAATCATAGGCAGTTGACTTCCAACTCTCGGAACATACGAGTCCGCTTATTGTCGACTAATATGTAAAGTTGTTTCAACTAGTAAAAATTGTATACACCACTTCAAATAAGGTATGTCGTGTTATTAAAAATATAAAAACTTTTCAAGGTCATTATAATGTTAAATAAATCAATTAACAGTTAACAATGTCACTAACCTAATTCATAGTACTTTTGCAGCAATTTAAACGTCATATTCCTCGCCTCCCTTGCCTTTGACCTAGTGAACTTTTCCATCGCGTTTTATTCCGCCCCAATATTACGAGTAAACAGACGGTAGGGACTTTTATTGGTGTTAAATCAGTGACATATAACAAAAGAGCGTTAGTTTTTTTTGTTACAAATTACTATAATTAACAAATAAATAAATTTTATGTCAATTTACGTAAAGTTTTTAAGTGTTTTATGTTTGAAGGTCGCCATAAATCGAATTTCGACCAATTCTCATTTAGTGTACAAAATTGCTAGAAATCGAATCAACACTTGTTTAATAATTTTTTGGCACTGATCTATATAAAGCTTTTAACAATAATAACAATCTTATCATTGTATGAACGACGATCACAGATAAGATGAAAATAACTACGTTAGTTTTGTGAGTAAACTAGTGAAAGAAAGAGATGGAGATATACTATTGTATGAACCTAGAAGGGGATAGATGAATGCAAATCACTAGAATAGTGTCATTAGTACGCGCTTATCGGATGGCTTCGAATGTTTTTATTTTTCTCTACGTCATTGTCCGCGGAACGGTATTGGAGTGCATTAGTGTTGTAAAAAACTGTGTAAAAAAATAAAGTGAGTTTTAGATATTAGTTTAAAGGTTGTTTAGTTGTCAAGGTGAATTAATTTAGTTAGATATATTTTTACTGTTAAATACAAATGCTAGTTATTTTTATTTACTTTTTAAGATATTGTATTACTGTATTATAAAATTTTAAAATATATAAATAAACCAATTAGTAAGTTTTAATATAAATAAAAAATAGAATTGTTTACTAACTTTTTGTTATAATCGGCAAAGTAACATTCTTTACTGTTTTCAAACCTCCCCTTTTTCAATAAGTTTCGTTACATTTTTTTGCAAAGTTTTTACATAAAAAATTTACTAAATTCTATATTTAAATTAATTAGTAAGTTTTTCTTCTTTCTTGTTGCCTTGAACCAATTAGAAAAATGCATTTGACCTTATTTTATGTGTACAAAGCTATGGCGCGATATTTTCGCGGACACATAAATGTCACGAGATTGTAGTATCCGCCCACCATTGCTTATCATTTGGTATACTCTTAATTTCATAATCATAATGATGGTGTCGTCGATAATTTAATAAGTGTAAAATTTTATATACTTGTTTAACTTCGCGAAAGAAAATAACAGTGTGACAAAGATAGGATTAATCAGTTCAAATATAATTGGAAGAAAATGGCAGATTATATAATACATTTAATGTAAAATAACTGGCTTAAAATGTCATTTCTAGCTGATTATTTTAAAATTCGGTGGGCGTTTAATTTCTTGTTTCAGATGTGTTATAGTTATTTTCAAATATCTTAGCGGCTCAAGGACATCAGCTCGCTGCGCAATGCTCTCCTAACGCATCCCTCTACGCCCCAACACACCTAAAATTATGTTCTGCGCAACGACTCGAGCGAACTTAAGAGCCGCCAAGATATTTGGAAACATTTATATTTGATATAAATGTACACTCAAGCAGATAGATGTTTAACGTAGTAAAATCAAAAATAATGTTCTTTCAGGTTGTTTCGCAAAAGCATTTGAGCGCATTCCGCGATCAATGGCGTCATCACTAGTGGGCGAGTTGAGCGCAGCGCCTTCACTGACTGGCTCGCTGACTGAGACAGTGGGGCCAGCGCCTCCAATGCAGCTCATGCATGTACTGGAATGTACAGTTGACTTGAAGGAAACAGATGCCAAGGTATGGGAAATACACACTTATGATGTACATGTTAAGGTGGATTTTTCATTTATTTTTAAAGCAAGGCATAGTGTCAGTATTAAATGCACTTAGTCTGAGTAAAAGTACCTCTTCTCCTAAGTGTTAATTTAAATATTTAAGGTTTGTTACTTTGCAGGGTACTTATAGTCATGTGCCAAAGGAACGTCTCGGCTTCAAACTGAGGGGAGGCATTGATAAGCAGGTCACCATCAATGTGCAACAAGTCACCAACAATGTGCAGCCTGAGATGGATGACTCTCAGGTAAGACAGCATTAATAGT